AACATCTTGAGTTCGAACAAATATCCAAGTATTCCAAACACAGCACGATTAGTGTAATTAACATCTCCGATTTTCATTGCATTTAATATGCGGACATTCAGACAATCCCTTAATTCTCGATACAATTTGAAAGAGTCCATAGAGAGCTTTGTTAAATCAGGTTTAGTGGGTGGTCCTGCTTGCTCACCAACAAAAATTTCCTCTCCTGTCTCCCAAGACCAAGCCAGCAAATCGGCGCATTTTCCTTCAACTACTTTATACACTAAATGATCAAGCCCGTAGTTTTTTCTGTATTTAGATGCAAGTACGGGGACTTCCATTCTAACAATAAAAGAATAAATTTCAATAAGATATATTATAATTGAAAACAATAAAAAGACACTATTAATCCAATATTTACGCTCGCCAATCTAAACCTGCAAATTCTTGTAAAGCATAAGAGAAAAAACGATGTCCAAACTCTGACCAATAGTGATGTTCACTACTGTTTGAGGCACTAATATCCGGAATAGGCTTAAGGAATGACTCGATTCTGCAAGATGAAAAAAAAAATAATCACGACAATGAATTAATGAATGATAATAAAACCTTAACTGATACTTACAAAGGTAGCATTACTCTATATAAGTATTTTTTAAGTCTTGTTACTTCCTCGGTATCTTTATCATTAACTACTATCAATGCATTTGTGGTGCGAACCCAGTCGTAAATTGTTTTCTTTGGTCCGTCTTCAGTTAACGACTCCTACAAAGCAATATAGCATATCTATTAATAACTGTTTTAAATAACAACACAAGTCCATGTTTACCTTAAAATACTCCTCTATGACTTCATGCCAACGGTTTGGTAACACTGCACTCCTTTTTGGTCGTAGGGAAAGTAGTTTTGTGTACTGTTCAATTGTTAAAAATTTCGCAAAACCACCATCGCCTGTGATGTCCATGATATTATCATTGGTGCAACTATACATTGAGAAAATATTAGCAAAACTTTACATAACTATGGCATACTCCTCTTTCAATAAATACTGTACTTACGAGTACACATTATTTTTTTCACGTTCTTTGTATTCTTCGAAGAGTGAAATGAATTCTTTGAAATACTATTTAATGAAAACTATTGAGTATTTGTCACGTGCACTAACAAAGAAATGTCATACTTTAGCATCATCTAAGCCCGTTAAATTCTCAGAAGAAGCCTTAAGGATGCTTTCATGAGTTTCACTGGCTGTAGATTGAGCGAAGGAAGTGTTTCCGGTGATTTGATGAGGTGGTGTTTGAGTTCCTTTGCGCAATAAACAGGAACAGCCAAGAGTTATTGATTAAATGTCTGAATAAGCAACAAAAATCCTTCTTACCATCTTTCGTATCTAATAGGCTGGAATTGAGTAATTCTTCACTATCATCGGCCTCACTTAGCCTAGGTAAATCACTTATTTCCAAATCATTGTATATGTGATCTCGTGATTCCTAAAAAAAAGAATGCATTATTTCGATCTTGATTAAACATCGTTATAACTGGACAATCTACTTTAATGTGAAGACAATACCTCGTTGTCGGTTTTTGTTGCCTGTGATTTCCGATTGTCCAGATGAACTTGCTTGTCGACCTCACTATTCCAATTCTATGAAAGAATAAGATCAATATCAAAATTGGGTGTAAAAAATGGCAAACATCAATTATATCTTACAGCATAAATGTCAGATTCCTGGTTCATTCGATCATTTATTCTTGCGGTTTGAAAATCTTCTCGTGTATCGTCCGTTATATTTACCCTTTTCTAAAATAAAGAATTATGTTAATAATGAATGCCTCATGTGACCTAATAATGCAATGAATTTCGTACTTACTTTTGCCCGTAATCTTCTTATATTTAGTAATGAATCCCCAATAGTTTTCAAAGATTTTGCTTGCTAGCAAGATCAGTCAGTTAGATGTTGATGGATGAAATTATTGCCAAGCATAATAATGACAGGAAACCATACATTAACATGTTCTTGAATTTTGCGAACATGGTGAATGACATCAGGTTTTATGTTTTTAGTTGTAGTGATATAGATAAGGTTTAGGTTGTATGTATCTAATATGTCTTGTGGCGTCGCGTTAGGTTTCTCGTCATAAATAAATTTTGTAAAAAGCTCAAGATTATTCCATCTCATCAAGAGCGTTTTAGAGAAAAATAGACTAATTCTCGAATTTGGTTGGCAAATACTAGGATCAAGCCTGAAATTGACTATTTTGCTCATCTGCTTTTTTGCAAAAAAGGAGGCGTCATGTTAACCAATGATACCAACAGATACACACGCAAATATTCTTTTGTAGCCCCCATCCGAGGCAAAATATTCAGTCACAATCACGCGGTTGAACACATGAGAGTTCGAGGCAATCCTTAGCATATGACCCTAGCTGTCCTTTTCGTGTTGAACGATCAGGCAGAAGAGTGGAGCTCCTGGACACAGACCGAATACTCTCCCAGAAGTAAGCTCTTTCCGCTAACCTCCTTTCTTACACGTATGTTGAATACGGAAGATTTGCAAGTAAACCCTGGGGCGTTAGTATCCCAGCATCCTTTCTGTCTAATCAAGAAATCCGCCCTTCGTGTTGAATCTCCGGGCTGGGCTTGATGGTACCCATGCAACAAAAAGAGGCGCGTGTACATGGAAACAGATACTAATATTAACAGTAATACTTAACTTTTCAAGAGCGACGAAATTTTTCTCTTCAAGCAATACTGTATATTTTTTCGATCTGATCAAAATTTATCAAATTTTCCGAAATTTTTGTTAAAAGTGAATTTTCTTGCAGATCTTAGAAAATTGGCCAATCAGAATGCAAAAATCATATCACGTTACACCTGATCTCATTCTGATTGGTAGCAATACATTATACTATAACTAGTATAAACCTAGAACCAGATTGAGGGTGAAAAAAAATCTTTTTTTTTTTACCAAACTGGGAAGAAAACAAAGTTATAGTTACTACGCATATCAAATCTACTAGTTTATATAATCGATATTTGCCAAAAATAGGGGTCCCTTAAAGCGGGGCAGATTTACATATTGATCTACATATTGCATAACTCGCGTTCTTGATATTTT